AATAACCCCCAGCCCATACACACACGAACGCAGGCCCACAGAAAAAAAACTGCTTCTCAACTCTCAAGTGCGAAGATGAAAGATCCCCAATTCTTTTTTTGGGAAAAAATGACTCTTTAATTTTAAAATTGACCGTTGAACGCTACCCAACTCTCATCTTCCATCCAAAAAAAATTCCTTCTTAAGGACGGCTGACGGGAAGATGGAAGTGGTACGGGATTGTAGCTTAAAGCGGTTTAATCGAGATTTTTCAGCTTTAGTTCTAATGTAAGTGTTTTATATGTTCAACTATTTATATCATTTTTTTTTTTAAACTCAGATTTTTATTTGTATTNCAAACAAACAAAAAGTTATAGTTTTTCAATTCATATTGCCCTGGCTGAAAGAAAACTCTGCGTCCGCCGCTGGGAACTACAACACTACAGTCATAGATGTCAATTTTTAGCATAATTCATGAGCCAGTTTGATTGAATAAACCAAGCACGCTTGTCACTATTTATTGGAGCATGCGTTCGCATGACCGCTCGATATGAAAGCCCAAAAAATATTGGCCCAGATAGGTCCAATTTATTCGAACAATGAAGAAAGTGCAATATCTCTTATATTTGGAAGATCGACTATTTAAAAAAAGTTATGTTTCTGCACGATTTTGAAAACACGATTTTAAATATCTCCAAATCACATCCGCAAATTCTACATGATGGAAACTTACTCTAAATGAAGAATGTTGAAGATTATATCAACCTAAGGTGTTCGTACCTAGTTATGATTTGTCTTATCTTTATATATATTAATCACGAAATTCATAGATAAGAGTTGAGTTATATTGTTCTAGCTTGAGCATATTGAGTTAATTTATTCTCCGAGAGTTTGTGAGATTGTTTATTATATTTTATACTTTGTGAATTCAATATTTCAATTTGCGTTTCTGCATCTTTAAAAGACTGAAACATAAGTTTAGGGAAGTAGTTAGTAGGATCGGCGGTAGTTGTAGTTTATGAGGGAGGTTTTTCCTTGTAATTTCAAACTATATATTGAAGGAGACAACCGATTTTTTAATGAAAGAGCTATGAGGGTAGTGAGACGCTCCTCTAAGAAAAATTTTTAATTGTCGCTTCCGCTTAAATTTTGTGTTCTTACACACCTTGCGCACTCTATTCCTCCAATCAATTTTTTCACAAGAAATAGTTGAACCTAACTTGCTCGCGCATAATCCTTTTAAGGTTTTAGTTTTATTAAGTAGGTCAAGCCGAGTGGGGCTGAGCTTTCACGATTTAAGCTCGAGTCGAGATTGCTTGTTTGTTAAAATAGCACAAGCTTGAACTGAAACTATCCTGTTTGATTCGAGTCGTATAACTCGACTCGTATAACTTCCAATCTATATATATATATAGGTGGTGGATCCAATGAGACAACTCCTTAAAATGAGTACGTAAGACTCAATCTTAGCCACTCATTTTGTTTAGATCAAGTATTTATGTTAATCAATTAAAATATACATTAATTAAATAATAAAAATAATTATTAGTTGACTCCGGCGTTGACCGTTGACTCCCGATGTTGACTTACGGCAAAAATAGTTGACTTCCAGCATTGACCCGTTGACCATAATATATATTGTGTATGAAGTAAATATGGTGGGGCAAAGTTAGTGTAAATATGTTGCAAAGTTATTGTAAAAATGTTGAAGAGCTAGTTGTTTTTATTTGCAATGTTTAGTTGTATTCAGTTTGCAAGGTTAGTTGTCATTAGTTGCAAGGTTAGTTGTCTTTGGTTGCAAGGTTAATTGTCTTTAGTTGCAAGGTTAGTTATCTTTAGTTGCAAGGTTAGTTTTATCTAATTGCAATGATAGTTTTCTCTAGTTGCAAGGATAGTTGTCTGTAGTTGCAATGTTAGTTCTATCTTGTTGCAGGGTTGGTTGTTTTTATTTGCAATGTTTAGTTGTATTCAGTTTGCAAGGTTAGTTATCTTTAGTTACAAGGTTAGTTCTATGTAATTGCAAGGTTAGTTGTTTTTAGTTGCAAGGTTAATTGACTTTAATTATTCTTTCATACATGATGCATACTAAGGTCAACGGGTCAACGCCGGAAGTCAACGATTCTCCCTGAAAGTCAACGTTGGAAGTCAACACTCAACGTCGGAGTCAACGGTCAATGGTCATAATAATATTTAAATAATTAAAAATAAAGAATTAAATAATAAAAATAAAAAATTATTATTTAAATCAAGATCTAAATTTTGTGGCTAGGAATGAGTCTCACGCTCTAACTTTAAATAAGCGGATGCATTGGAACCAATCCTATTGTTGGCTAAACATTAAATAAAATATTTTTAATTATACCTACGTGACACTTTCCCACCAAAGATCGTCACTTACCAGCATTAATTATTCTTTTACACTAATTACATATTCTAGACACAAATCATATTAGAATATATACAATATATAATTACTGACTATTCGATTAATGTTATTCCTAAAATTTCCCCCTCATTTTATTTCCATCTAACTATGGAAAATAACTGTTACATTTTGCATTACCTAATTGTGACAATATTTTTTAATTATTTTATTATATTATAATTACTAATAAAATTAGTAATTATAAATTTATGTTAAAAGTTGTGTGTAAGTTACACATTTATAAAAAAAGGTTATTGCAAAACATTTTATCCATGCTATAGATTTTAAAATTAATATTATCTCTTCATTTTATCACATTAGGCGATTTTTTCTAAATACCTTATTTATTTTAATGGCATAACCAATCCCTTAAAATTACTTAAATAGTTGCTATAATAATAATAATAGTTTTAACATTTTTTAACCAACTAATTGATTATAACCCCTTAAATTTGTAAAAATAAAAACATATTATTCATTTCATTTTATACAATGTATGTAGTTTTTATATATATAAGTAAAATAATTTATAATTATAATATTCGTTGCTATTAATGATTAGAAAAATCCTGCAAGCACATAATAAGTGTACATATAGGTGTACTGTGTACATACTACATAACACTCACATAGAGTGGGGTCCACTTGATTTTTTATTTTTTAGGATCCACTAATTTGAGTGTTATGTACACCTCTATGTACAATATTATGTACTTATAGCATTTCTTTAATGATTAAAATTATAAAATGTCATATACTCATTACATAATTTATAATTTTAAATATAATATTTTATATGTATCTGTGCATGTACACATGATCGAATAATGTATATATAAAACAAAACAAATGAATAATTAATGAACAAAATACATAATAACTAATGAAAATGTCACAATCAAATTAATTATACAAATCCCTATGATATAGTGCTTATCTAAGATCTAGAGTCAAATTAAGTATCTGAATTATAATCTATCTACTACTACTATTATTTAGTTAAAGCTAAGCAGACACATCAGAAGAAGGGCAAGAAGAAAACACAAGAGAATAAAGAGATAATTGAAAAGGCAAAAGAAAAAAAAATGAGAAAAAGGAAAAGTAGAGAAAACTGAAATGTGAAAAAGCTCAAGAAGACGGTCGCCGGCTCGCTGCTCATATTTTCAGCTTCCCCTCCGAACCACCACCATCCCGATCGCCGCCTTCCGCCGTTATATCCGGCGGGACAATCCACGTCCGCCGTTGAACACCGAAAAGGCATTTCTTTTCTTAAATGCAGGACAGCACATGCTACTAATCATTCATATACGCGCATACATTTCGGTGCTTATGCCATTTTCATTTTTCAGTATATTTGGTGATTTCGTGTTATTTATATATGGGTTTTGTTGCACAGGGATTGATCGGAATAATATTGGTTGTGAATTGGGGCAAATTCAGTCGGATTGTTTGATTATGGGCTTCTCGACACTGATAGTCTTGTTTAGAAGAAAAATGTATATCTGTGTTGTTGGGTACCTTTAGATGCTTGTTTGGACTGGTTTTTTCTGGGTGATCTAATCGAGTTTTGATATTTGGTGGCTAAAAATTGGACCCTGTGCCCACCGATTGTTAAGCTTTAGAGTAAATATGTGATTCAGCTCGAAACAGTGTCTTTCCACTGTATCAGCTCATATGCTGGACACATTTCTTCTCTGCTCTTGTTTCTATACTGTTACTATAATGGGACTAATTTATCTTCTTTTTTCTTGGCTCTTGTTTCTATACTGTAGTAATGGGACTGATTTATCTCCTGTTTTGTTTGCCAATTTGTTGCTCAGATGTCAAGAATTCAGAGTTTATATAATTTGCCAATCTGTTGATCGATTAGTTTAGACTAGATGATGAATCTGAATACACTGAAAAGTGCGAAAGATCTCACATGTCTGGTTTTCTATGTACATGTAATCTGTAACTAATATGTTGGCTTATATGAACAAGTGCAGTATTTGGCAAGTATTTTCTTTTGAGGGAAAATTTTTTGGAAGATCTTGAAAAGGCTGGTTTTATCATTTGATTTTTTTTTTTCCCCATTATTTTGCAAAACTAAAATTCTTAATGATGTTTTCATCCACTTTTCCTGTATTTGCTCAGTTTTTTCAATTCTCAAGTACAAGTGTGCCATTCAAGTTTTTGTGTGATCAATTTTCAATTCGCTTGTTTTTGTGTGATTCATTTGCTTTTTGAAAATGCTGATGGATTTTTGTTCCAAACTCTGCAGGATTAGGTACCATGAAGAATATTTATTTGGATCCTGGGTTATCTTCTTAAATCCTGCGACTTTCGTATTGTTAGGCTTTTTCGTTCTTCACCTTTAAACCTCAATATGCAGAAGAGTGTCAGTCTATCTAAGCATAATTCTCTGAGACTGACAACTCAGCAATCGCTTCGTCGACTAGGTCTTTGTTCTCAAGCGCCAACTGGACAACAAACGTCACCTGTTGTGTTCCCCGAAAAACGTAATAGCAGAGGGAAAGCTGCAAGTACTAACAATGATAATCCTAATGAGGTTAAGAGGGATGAACTTAGGATTGATGTTGGAGACGAAAAGTCTGACTTACTAGGATATGAAGTATTCTCAGGAAAACTTTCTCTGGACAAAAGGAAATCTTGTAAAAATCTCGAGGTACAAACTTCGGAGAGTTCAAAAAATTTGGATGGGGTTGATGCTAAACTTACGAGCAAGGCACTGATTTGGGGCTCTCACATACTGCGGCTAGATGATGTGATTTCGGTAAATTCTTCTAGATTCGCAGCAAACTTTGCCTGAAAATATGAATGCAGATTTCGTTTCTTGATGACCCCTTCTATAATTGTATGTTTGCAGCTGTCTTGCTGTGTTGGTCTTAGACATTTTACTGTCCATGCATATCCGGATCGGAAGGGTTCGTGTCGCCTTTTCTCTAAAAGTGGGAGAAGTCGGAAGGACTTCCGTTTTTTTGCCTCAACCTCAGATGATGCCATTCAGTGGGTCAATGCTTTTGCAGATCAACAGTGTTATGTGAATTGCTTGCCTCACCCAATGGCTTCTAAGAAGCAGAGTTCAGATCTGATATTCAACGAGTTTCCTCCTGAGTCATATATAAGAAGTAAAAGTCAACCAAAAATGCTCGTCATTTTAAACCCTCAATCTGGACGTGGTCGATCAAGCAAAGTTTTTCATGATTTGGTTGAGCCTATATTCAAGGTAGGCTGTTTGTGGACTCTATCTTGTTTGAATTTGTAATTTTGCCTTCGCTTTTGGCTATATACATAGTGGTTACAGACACTTGGTGTAAGGCAGTAAAGGTCAGACAGATTGAATGATGGCATTTCTAAGGCTTCGACCAAACGGATGTCCACTAACCCAACAAACATAGCTCCTCGAACTCCTACCCCACCTCCCTACCATCCTCATTAGGACTTTGCCTTCTGTATACCTTTTCTTTTCTTGGTTTTCTATTTTTTTTTTTTCATCATTCTTCTCCTATTTGCCTTTTCTTCCTTAAGCTGCAGATATGTGCTAAGTGTCTGCCAGTGAAATTTTATCTACTGTTCTTTTGAATAGCAATCCTTGTTTACATTATCTTAGGGAGCTAAGCTTCAATTATCTATTCCACGTGTAGTGGGTAAAGTGCGCCTTCGCTTGTGATGGTTCTCCTTTCCAATCATTTATGATGAGTAGAATGAAGAAAAAAGGGGTGCAATTTTTTTTTTCATCCCCGTTCTTCTTTTTCCCATTTTTTTTAATACATATGGGTTTTAAGTGTGTAGCAGCACCATATTTGGAGCAAAAATGCTTGTGATAAATTACTGCGAGCAATTTTTTTATAAGGATGACAATCAACAAAAACTTCGTCGAAGACATTATGTCAAGTAGTCCTGGTTTGGTAATGCTTTCTGCTTCTAGTATNGCAGCTCGTTTTTATTGGTAAAGCACGATAGTGACCCTTATCTGGTTGTTGTTCATTGATATTAAATTCAGACCCTTATAGCAAATATGAAAAATTAAAAATATATGAGAATGTGAAGTATATGTCTATAAAGGCAATGGTAATCGTTCCACTTCAATGTGTGGAGAACAGAAAAAGATTTTATATTGGTAAACTTGAGCAAGGATGTAGAACGTTCTGATTGGAAAAAGTGACACTAGCATTTTCAATTGTTGTAAGGTTTCTACTCAAGGGAATATTTTCAATTTGACTTTTTGTTGCATCTAATATGTAGTTCACGTTTGGACTATGTTTAGCAATTTTCATATGACGGAAACAGCAAATTATGTCTTGAAATGTATTTTTGTTAATAATGACTTGTATTTGGTGAAGTTAGATATTCTTTAAGTTTATTTATCTGGTTATTTGGGTCTCCAGAATTATTGAGTTATATCTTGTAATCCAAAAGATGTACTTGGTTCTTCTGACCTTCTGCATCATAAAATTGTAGCATGCCTGAATTTACTTCCTTGAGTATCATTCGGCAAGGGATCGATTGTCTGCTAAAAACTACTGGTAAAATCATTGGGTCAAATAGTGGGGATATTGTAAATGGAAAGCATATTATGGAAATATGATGCAATAGAATTTGAGGAAATATTTACTTTTTCTTTTATTTTATTTTACCTTTGTTTTTTAAGAAATTTGCTTGTGAAATGGTACATCATTTATTTGTGGGCCACAAGTTCATTTTAAGAAATTTCTGGGCTCTGGCTTAATAACAGGCGACATAGTAGGCTGGCCACAAGTTTGTTGTTTTATAGGGTGAGAAATTTTAAATGATAAAAAATAGAGTACTTGGTCAAAAATTTATGGGACTTTAGTTCTACATAGCTGACAGGGAACATGCCTTTAGTTTTTTGTCTGAACTCTGTTGCCTCTGGGAATTTAGGACCGCCTTTACATCAGTTGAAGCAAACACCTTTTGAAACTCCTATAGAGATGGGGCTGAGAGTTGGATATCTCTTAGCTAAGTTCCAAGCTGTCATAGGATCATTATTGTGATAGATCCCTTAGTTAATGCTTTCCTCATGTTGTGTATTACAGCTTGCTGGATTTGAGTTAGAAGTTGTCAAAACACAATCTGCTGGTCATGCTCGAAAACTTGCAGCCAGTGTTGATTTCAGTACATGTCCTGATGGTACTTTTGACCTTTGTACTTGATAGCTTTTACTTGATTATTTCTTCCCATCCTGTTGACCGTTGATTTGTTTGCTCTTTTTGCAGGTATTATATGTGTAGGAGGCGATGGAATCATAAATGAGGTTCCTATGAGTTTTTCACTCTTTTCCTTACCTGATTTTGTCTGTTCTGTGAATGAGGGGAAACGGCTCGGGCAGTTGGTTATATTTCGTTGCTGCATACAGTGACGAATGTTTGAGCATTAAATTAGTGCTTCACCATTGTTTTGCACTGTTGCATAAGCATTCTAACTTCTCAAATGTACATTTGATGGCAGTTGTTGTATTGGTATATGAACTAATTGCCATTCATATGGTCTGAAGGTGGCTAATGATTTGCCAATTATTAGTTATTTTATTTGTGTCAACCCATCAAGTTCTTGATCGTTTACTTTTGGTTACTCTAACTCTCATATGGTGATATCTGAAATACAGGTTTTGAATGGTTTACTCAGTAGAGAAAACCAGAAAGAAGCAATTTCAATCCCTATCGGGATCATACCTGCTGGTTCTGATAATTCTTTAGTCTGGACAGTTCTTGGAGTTAGAGATCCGATATCTGCAGCAATAGCAATAGTAAAGGTAGCTCTTTTGTGTTCACCCTCTTTGCATTATTTTGCTTTGTTTTATAGTGTACTGGAGAACTGATTATACTGTATTTTGAGTTTGTGTTTTATCTTGGGGGCTACAGAATAACATACAAAAAGCTTTAAGATGCAAGATGCAAACAATATTTACTGATCATGTCAAATATTAATTTTATTGAAACCCCGCATGCATGTTGTTGACCCTGATTTCTCTAAGTTACATATTCAATTATTGCTCAAATTAGAACTGTGCCATTGAGGCTCTCTCGATCGCTTAATTCATCTTGGCACGACGGATGAGCTGAAAAGGTAGAGCATGTTTGTTTATGAAAATTTTTCAAAAAAATTTCAACATTTTAACTCAACCACTTTTTTTAACTCGACTTTAACTCAACCCCACTATCATCAATATTATTAATATAATTAAATAATATCAATCGATCATTCATATACATCACATCAACCTTAATTCACTATTCATCCACTCACATTATTTTAACTAACTATCACGTCAATCATCTCTCTCCTACTTTTATATCAAATCAATTTTAATTATTTTATTTTAAATATTATTTTAATATACGCACTAACAACTAACCATACCACTTTTTTCAAAATTAACCAAACCAAATCAAAAAATCCAAACAAAACCAAAAAAAACAAACATGCTCGTAGTTTCTTAGGAGGGATTTTGTTTTGAATGAAGAATGAAAAGAATTGGAAGTATCAAGGGATATGAGATGGAAATGTAATGATTATAGGTAATTTGATATGTAAATAATAAATTGATTTTTGGTATTTAGCCACTGAACATTGATGCGCTTGTTCTTGGACTTTGTACTCCTTGTTTGGAGTTGGGACTACAAAAATCGACGTCCATTTTATGGTTAAAGTCCATTATATTCTAACCATAACTGTACAAAATCCCAAAATTTATATCCTCTGAAATCTGATCCAAACACCCCCTTAAGTGTCTGGAAATTGAAATAACTGTCTTTAGCTTTGTATACTTGTTGTCTAGCTGTGGTTTTATTTCAATTTACACCATCTGGTTAATTCCATGCTTTAGTTGTGGTGCTCATGGTCTGAATTTCACCTGCCATTAAATTTTCATGCTCCATATAGAAAGGTTTGCCAGTTGTCCCGGACAAGATAGTCACCACATGCATCTGGGCCCATTAAGACCCTTGTCGTGGGTAATTATTTTCTCCATCGTAATCTTTGATCACGTCGAAATTAGGAAGTTATATATGCAAATTTCATGTTTTCTTATTAATATCTAGCTGTTTTTTTTCAGGAATACTTTGTACTAATCTGTTGTAATATTTTCCATAAAGTTTGTTGCTTATTTTCTTTTTTTCTTTTTTCTTTCAACATTTGTTTCCTTTATGTTTTTAGGGAGGTCTTACGGCCACTGATGTTTTTGCTGTGGAGTGGATTCATACCGGAGCCATTCACTTTGGGATGACAGTTACATACTTCGGCTTTATAAGTGACGGTAATTCCTCTGCAGTTCATGTTTATTTGTTTGGTAATTCCTCTGTAATTCTAGTTGCTTATCTTTAGGCCGAATGGCAGATAAAGCCACAACCTCTACGTTCTTTGGCAAACTAAACCAAACTTTTTAAAAATTGCAAACAAAGACAGAACCTTGCGTGCTGGTTGCCATCTGCACCCAAATTCACATCCTGGTGGATTTTTAACTGCGAGGCAGGCAACTTTGCAATTATGTTTGTTTACTAAGATCAGATGTCGTGTCATTAGGGTTAATTGCAAATAAAATCATAACCTTATCATTTTTTTGCAACAAAAGCATAACTTTTTAAAAGTTGCAAACAAGGACATCAACTTTGCTTTGATTGTTATCCAAAATAAAAAAGGAACTCCCAAATGGTTCTATTTTTCAGCGTGTCCAACAAGAAATGAAGTTGTGAAAATATACTCTATTTATCCATGTTAGCATTTGTAGAAGATCTTCCTGAAAGGAGATTTGTTGATTTATCTTATTTCTTTTTGTATGATTTCTTGATGAGATAATCTACCTTATTAATTAAGGATCTCCTTATTCTTTTTTCTTAACCNTTCGGCCCGTTACGCTACTTCGTAGCCGGTTTCCTCAAATTCCTATGCTTGCCCAAGTACAGCTACGAACTCGAATACCTCCCGGCCCAAACCGAAGCCCGCGAAGGCAAACTCTCGAACAATCACATAATCGACATGTCAGAGCTCTACACCGACATAATGCGCAGGTCTAGCAAGGAAGGCCTGCCCCGCGCCTCCAGCCTCTCGAGCATCGACTCCATAATGACCCCTACCCGCATATCGGGTGCTGACGTGGACACCAACGAGCCGTCAGACTATGTACGGGCCATCGACTCTAAATCCAAACGCCTCTCGGCTAGCAAAAACATAACCGGGCTCGAGCCCGAGCCCGAAGTCATTCACCGGGCCCTCCCTCTCTCGGCTACTCCTAACTGGCCCAGAACTCGGTCCAAATCGAGAGCTGAAAAAGGCTGGGCCGTGTCAAATGCTACCACCACAACAACGTACGATAGGGAGGATATCTCGTCCACTTTATCGGACCCTGGCCCGATTTGGGATGCCGAGCCCAAGTGGGACTCGGAGGCCCATTGGGCCGTGGAGAACAACAACACCATTGAGCTGCCGGGCCCACCTGAAGGGTCAGAAGGCAGTGATAGGAAGGAGAAGGAAAGTGTGGGGAGATGTGATGAGGAGAAATGGGTGGTGACGAAGGGCCAGTTTCTTGGGGTGCTCGTTTGTAACCATTCGTGTAAGACTGTGCAGAGTTTGAGTTCTCAGGTGGTGGCTCCAAAGGCAGAGCACGATGACAACACTTTGGATTTGCTGATGGTTCGTGGGAGCGGGAGGTTTAAGCTGTTGAGGTTTTTCTTGCGTATGCAAATGGGGAAACATCTTTCCTTGCCGTACGTTGAATATA